ACTTTATATTTCTCGTATCTTTGCTAGATGTGAATTCATAGTGGGTTCTCCCTTCTGATCCCATAACACAACTTTAAAATAGCTTTTGGTTATGGACTTCTTGAAAAACCTTTTTGAAATTCCAAGTCTGCTCTTTTTTAACTGATCACTTTTTCCTCATGCACGTTCATCCCTTTAAAAGTTACTTGAAGAATTGAGGTGTGACTTCTTTTTTATCATCTTATATATCCACCTGTCATTATCTTCTTCTCTGTCATAATTTTATCTAATTTCCTTGCTCTAGAAGTCACTTACTACTAATATGTAGTTTTCTGGGGTCCTTCTAAAATTAGACATCCCATTTTTTTGATGCAGTGACTGTGCATAATGTTGACCCTGGTGTCTTCAGAAAAAAAATCTCTATAGCCTTTATTACATGCAAGTGTAAATGGCTGTTTTATCATTTCTTCTCTGATACTCTGTCTTTTTCTGTGCTGCAGAGCTTATGAACAGCTGAATGTGAAGCATGAACCTCTCCAACTCATTCAGCCTCAATTTGAGACTCCCCTACCTGTCCTCCAGCCAGCTGTAAGTTATCTTCTTCCTAATACAGCACATGGAGAACTCTTCTGTTTAACACCTCTGTATGTCATTTCCATAGTTCTTTCAAAAAGAAAAAAAAAAAGGAAAAAAGTGAGTAATACTGGAGTAATGATTAATCACTTGGGACCTGAATACAGTGCAGGGACTGTCTTTTAGGAAAGAGCACTTATTTAATGCTTCTAGTTCTTATCAACAGAGCTGGAATGTGTAACATCTAGTACCATAGCACAGCTTCCTAGAGAGCTCAGAATGCCTTGTGTGTATATAAACCTTGGGCTGAGTAGCTGCCCCCAGTCCTGTGAGGTGCTGGTCCAGCCTTTGCTGTGAAAACAGAATGTGGTATTGCAGAAAGCACTGGTGGTGTGAATAACACCCAGACTGCTGCCAGGGGAGGAGCCAGCCTGTGTCACTCTTCTGTCTGCCCTGTATTTTGGGGACATTAAAAGTTACAACAAGGGCTGGCCAAACTTTTACCAGCAGAGATTTGGGCTGGTGCCAACAACATGAACTATGGCAGCGTCAAGCTTATTTCAAAAAGGAGGTTTCTTTGAGTATCTTTGAGTTTTGCCATCATGGCTCCATCCTTCTTTACCCTGGCCACTGAGGAAACCTCACTGGGATCCTTGTAACTGCAGGGGTGCAACTGAAAGTAGTATCTCATGCACTGCTCTTAAAAAAACTCAAGTCCACCTTGTGGCATAAGTGGTGATTGCATGAAAAAGAAAATACCCTTACCAGAATTGATGTGAATATGTTTCCAAGGTGAGCTGTTACGGTGAGCTTAGTACCTCAGCCATCACCTGCATGTCATGGAGCAAAACTAAAAGCAAACTGCAGAGGCAGTATGTCTGGTTGTGATGCCAGGTGATAGTTCTGGTGTACTTGTGACTAAACTCTTTTGGAATATTCAGTTATTTTCACAAAATATAAATGGAATTTTTAAAAAGGTGTACCTGTGTACTGTGGCCTTTGGAGTTGCTTTTGACTTTATAAAAAGTTTCTTCAAGTCCAGTCTAAGTCGAAAAGTGTTGTCTTAGAGATCTGTAAAGTGTAAAAAAATGATTTGGCAATAAGCTGTGCTAATTCCTCTCTTCAAGGTTTTTCCACCTACTTTCAGAGAATTGCCTCCTCCCCCTCTGGAGCTGTTTGATTTGGATGAAACTTTTTCCTCTGAGAAAGCTCGTCTTGCAGAGATTACAAACAAATGTAAGTGGAGCATTGTGATTGTTTACATGTTAATCAAGTCCAAGTTTTTGGAGCTTTTTTATTCTTATGTTTAATTTTAAAACATGGGCCTCATTTATGAAAATCCGCTGCTCTTATCCTGGGACAAGATATTGGAAGGCCTTGGGAACTGATAACATGACTTTATGTACTATGACATTTTATTGTGTTTGTTTTATGACATTTTATTATGCTTCTGCCTGCTGTTTCCTATATCATGCATAAATTGCTTTGCACAGTCTTGCAGATTTATTTCATGTCTTTTTATGCTTTGAAGTTAAAATGTTAAGATTATTCTAAACACACCTTAAGTCTAAACAAAGAGAAAGTACTAGCTGTGCAAATATATCATGGCTGGTCCACTAAATTCTTTACAGTAAATTTGATGCTTCAAAGTCTGTTTGGAACATATTGGCAGATCAGCTGTTTCTAACAAGTATTCCCTGTTTCTCAAATAGTCTAGTAAAGACAAAAATTGGACATTTCTACCCTATTTTTACAGGATTTAACCTCCCAGAATGCCAACAACAAATGAGATTTGTAGTACGTTTTTGCCCAGCTGGTACAGATGTGTGTGATACTCACCTGCCTTCCTCCCTGGGATGTTTGTTTAGGTACTGATGACGACCTGGAATTTTACGTACGAAAATGCGGCGATATCCTAGGAGTAACAAGTAAACTCCCAAAGGAGAAGCAAGATGCCAAATATATCCTGGAGCACATCTTCTTCCAAGTGGTTGAGTTTAAGAAATTGAATCAGGTATTTTTAGTAACAGAATTAGAAGTGAATAGTTGGTAGTACCAGCACTGAGGCTGATGTATCTTTGTAGCAGCTACGCTTGTCACTGGCAAGAGGTACAGTGATGTGTTAAGACATTTTTTGTACAATAAATTAGACCAATGAATTGTGATCCAGAGTACTTATGACTGTTAATCTGTATAGAATGTGTAGCACTCGATTTATTAAGTCTCTCATTTGTTTTAATTGGGAGATGAATCAATGTGAGTGTAGTTTTGGTAATTTCAGCTAAATACTGTTCCTGAGTGGTGCACTGAGTAAGAGCAGTGTGCCCTCAGGAACGTTCGCAGCGCTTGCTAACGCTGCAGTGTCCGTGTGAAGGCAGCGTTGTTACTCACAAGCAGCGCTGTGTTGAAATAATTCTTTATAGTAAATTTGATGCTTCAAAGTCTGTTTGGAACATATTGGCAGATCAGCTGTTTCTACTAACAAGTATTCCCTGTTTCCCAAATAGTCTAGTAAAGACAAAAATCAGACATTTCTACCCTATTTTTAATGTTTTTTTTTCTTTTTCTCTTCTTCCCTTTCCTAAGGAACATGATACTGACACAAGTGAAGCTGGATTCCAGAATGGTAACTGAGACCTGGCTTTCCTCAGTTGGAGATAGACCTTTTAGTAAAAACATACTTTTCCATTTTTTTTTTCAACCTCTGTGTTTGGTATGTTGATTGGGACCGTCTTGGTAGTTCACTGAATGTTCAGATCATTTCTGTGTAGTAGTTGGAATAATTAATGTCTTTGGAGGAAATACTTATATTTTGCAAGCACTTTCCAAATAATTTCCTATTTTTCTACTTCTTTATTGAAACTGTAATTTTGTAATATATGAAAAAAAATAATCTTGTACTAAGAAAATGTGGTTTGGGTCCTTCTTTTTGGCTTTTCTTGTAGCAAGGCTTACTGTGGGTTCTCCTGGTATGCATACAGTCCTTAATTGCACTGTGGGATTGTTATTTTAGTTTGTGAACTGTGGAAAACAGAGCCATTAAATACAGGAGCTGCTGAAAATATGTTAGACTGTCACCCCGAGGCAGTCTCCTTTTGTCTCTTTGCCAAAGCGAACCAAGGAGAGGTGGGTTGTTACTCAGAGGAAAAAATTTCTTCCAAGGGAGAGGAAGAATTGAAATTAAGCACTAATGACATTGTTGCAGATCGCTGCCCCATATAAGACTGGAAATACATCATTTTGAAAAGAAGGGACAGCATTTGGATGAAAAAGACTTTAAGATTTAATGGATCATTATTAAGGAAATGTGATACTGTGTAGAAACTCAGGAATATTTTTACTTAAAATTATTTGATATCTAGTTAATTCCCAGAGATAGTAAGCTAGGTAATGCACAAAAATGGAAATTCATTGACCCTGAAATGTTGAAGCTCAATGCACAGCAAAAATAGAGCCAAGGATATGAGTGCTGAGAAGAAAAGATTTGTCAACATCATTAACACCACGTCTTTGTTGCAAGGACTTTTTTATATCAACATTGAGATTGCACTTTGACTTAAAAAAAGAAATTTATTTAATCTGACCCCCGAACTGTGAAATGTAAATTCTTCCCCCACTCAAACCTTCTATGCAGCCTTTGTGACACCTGCGCTTTATCTTGCTCTGCCATGTTTTGTAATGTCAAAAGATCTTTTATCCCCCAAAAAGTCTGTTCGTTTTACATTGCTTCATGCTTCGCATGTGAACTTGGCACAGGTTTTTCTAAAGGAGGTGCCCCAAAGCACCTGCCCAGTTACTGACCAGTTGAGATGTGCTAATACAGTGTGAGCAGAAGCGGCTGTACCTCTTCTTACGCTGCAGATGTGCCTTTTTCATAGCAGCGTGTTTGAAATCTTTCATTTCTTCATCTTTTATTTATTGTTCTTTAATGGCATGGTTGTGTTTGTTACACAGAGTACTTTGTACATTCCAGCTACAGATTTACACAATAAGCTTAATCTTTCCTCTGCAGTATCAATACCGATCAGTGAACCGGCACAAACTGCAGTTGAACCAAACAACTGTGTGATCCTTTTGCTAATTATAGATCTGATTTGTACTGTTCTGTGGTGTTTATATTTCAAACTGTCAATACTTTCCTGGCCCTTTTTCTGAGTTGTTTTGTCACCTGTTCCTGATGTTGTAACAGGGTTTAGAAAAAAAGTCATCTGAGCAGCTGGAGAAGACAAGCAGCTCCCTGTTCACTGTTTGTGGTGCCACTCTGACAGCTGAAGTAAAAGAGCAGATTTTTTTTCACTGAATGGATGTTTTTTAGAGCCAGAAGCTCTAGTGTGAAATGTATGTGGAGGCAAGAGCTTGCATCTCTCTTTCTAAGCTGTCCCTTTGGCCCTCTGGAACTGTTTAAACTGTTATTTGTAAACAGAATTGCTTACTTTGGCCATGGGAATATGATACACTTCAAGTTTAAGGCTGATTGACAGAATTTTGAAGGAGTACAAGTGGGTGAGGGCTTTCAACAGGTGAGGCTGGGCCACTGGAAGGTGAGGCACACAGCTAGCCCTGGAGTTATGTATTAATTAAATTACTGCTGTAAATCACAAAAGTTGGTTCCAAGCAGCTGTTGCTGCTTTACCTTTTTTTTTTCTCTGTCCTCTTACGCAACACAACTTCACATCTCTTAATCTATCCCTAAAAGAAGAGGAGGGAGTGTATATTGGTTCTTCAGCAAACTGTAAATGCCTTGGAAAGCGGTTTTCACAAATAATTCTCCGTGTCTTTGTGTCTGCTGTAAACAGTGTTGGGAGGGGAGAAAAAGGGAAGGAGAGCAAGTGTGTGTGTAAGGTGGGAGAGCGAGAAAACCCGTAGCAGGGGTGGGGTGGGATGAGGGTGGGCTGGTTTCCTTCCCTCGGAGCAGGGTC